TTCGGTAACAATAGCAAATAGGATCTGAACCCAGGACTGACTCCAGCTGAACCACCCAAGAAACACAAAGAACCTTAAGCTGGGTTCAAGAGAAAGGTTCAGATCACATCAGTGTCACAAAGCTCACCTCATCCTCCTCGGTGTTTTGATCACCATGAATCGGGATGGCTCTTAGTTGACCCTGGGAGTTTGAGTTTGATTCTTCAATCAGTGTTAATTTGGGGATTAAATCCATTTGAATTTGATTTTGTATTAGAACCCACAGGATGCCAAGTGCATTTGACGAAGGTTGACTTCCTGAAAGCTCCCATTCAGCGGTTCTGTTGGTCACGGACCAAGGCAGTGCTTCTCAAAGTGTGGTCCTGGGACCACCAGCATCAGCACCACCTGCAGACTTGTTAGGAATGGAAATTCTTACGTTTCCCCCCAGACCTGCTGAATGAGAATTCTGGGGACAGGGCCCAGCAATCTGTGTCTTTAACAAGACCTCCTGGTCATCTGGATATAGGCTAGATTTTGAGAATCCTTGTTCTGAAGTGTTAGGAGGTGGCACAAACTGAATTATTTTTTTTTCACGTGGAGAAACGCTGACTTTAGGTTTTCTTTATTTTGTTCTTTTTCTTTTTCCTTAAAAAAAATACTTTTACCTCATTTCCAAATCTTCGTTCTCCTGTGGTACGAATTTGTACAAGGCAACGTAGGTGTTCATCTGTAATGTGTCTTTGGAAAGAGGTCCCTGAGAGAGAAAATAAAGGAAAAAATGAGAAAAACAAGGAGGAAGAAATGGAGAGAAGAAAGAGAAAATAGAAAGTGAAAAAGTGAATGTAATGTGATTTTAGTGGATAGGATCCTAAGTGTTAAAAAATCTAACCATCATTAAAGATTTTCTTTCAACCTTAGGTTTATTTTTCATTTCTTAGCTGAATCTGATTCCATTTCAAACTATTTGAAAACAATTATTTGGAACTCTCCCTCAGGAAATACTACAATTTTCTTCAAATAAGAAATTTTTTTTTATAGAGTTCTTCATGAAAATGATATGGGTTTGGCCGCAGAAATGGGAATATTCGGTCTATAAAAAGAAGGACACATCAATAGTGGTAAATAACTCAAATTCCTAAAATGGACTTTTTACCAGTTCACCTCAATTTTGGTATCTAGCATAGCAAAGGGAACCAGGTATGTTAATCCGGCAATCAGTTCATTCATATTGTAGAAAAAGCATAGACATAGGCATCAGACTGACTGAAATTATATCATGGCACCACCATTTACTGCCTATTAAGCCTTGGGAACGATAATAAAAGCCACTACTTTTGATAGCTTACCGTGTACTGTGTGCCAGGTATCATGCTACACGTATCATCGTACTCCAACCTCACCACAATCCTGTGAGGTAGATTCTATTGCTGTCCCCAATTTACAGACTATAAAACAGCTATATGTATATATGTATATACATATACACGCATGTAGTAATGTAATAGCTATATAAATATTATATTCACCAAATAAATGTTAATGCTATATAAATTCTTATACTTTCTAATTCCTGTAATACATTTAAAATTATATTACAAACTACGTAATGTACAATTGTATATTTAAATATAATACTATAATTAAAATATACTATATAGCTATAAAACATAACAAAAGTTGCACACAACTCTATGTATCCTTTTTACCTGTGATGCACTTCGTTTTTCCATTCTATACTATGCTATTCAAAGCTCAGGTACCCTATGCTATATTATTCTATTCTATTCTATCCTATTCTAATAATACCTATACATATATAAATGAACATATAAAGATAATAAATATATACTTCAATATTATAACATATAGTCATGTTAGGTAATTAAATACTTTACACATTATGTACCGTATGTTAACTTGTACATAACATATATAACAGAAACAAACGTTGCACAGAACAATACATATCCTTCTGACTGCCTATGCACTGTGATAGTTCTGTTCTATGCTATCCATGCTGTGGTATGTTAGACAAATTATTCCATCTATTCTTTAAAGATGCTAGTCTGGGGCCCTCTAAATTGATTTCCTGACCCACTTGGGTCGTGACCTGCAGTGTGATCTAAGGACTCCAGTCTAGGTCTGTCTTCTGTGACGTCCATAATTACCTGGTGGTTTATGTCCTTTGCTTGGTCTCTGAAATCGTCAGTGCCATTTTCAGGATACGTAAACACTGAAGGAGACAAGAGAAACCAGGAGCTTCATGAATCCAGTCACCGTGTTTGGGAAACATGCCTGAAAGATGTCGTTTTATTTATTCCATATACCGTAGCTTTTACCTTGACAGGCGTTGCCTTTTCCTCATCCTTTGGGACCCAGCCTACAGGTCACCTTCTAGTGATGCTCCCCCTGCCTTGCCGTGCATACTCTGCCCATCTTCTTTGTGCTCCCACCACCACGTTCATGCCTCCAGACTAGCACACATCCCATCCCTCTGCACTGTTTGGCAATCGTGTGCTCAACACTCGGGCTCCTTTGGCACTGCTCTTCTCATGAGCAGAAACCATCATCTTTGCTGAGTGTACTGAATCAGTTGCTAATGGGGTGGTGGGTGAGGCACGACCCAATTCAATTGTATTGGAATTACCTTTCCTAAATGCCAGGTTCTCTTATCTATATTCAACATCTCAATTCTCATTTCTTAATGACATTTATATTCTATTTTTCAGATTAAAGCTTTAGTTTTAAGCCTCAAAATATTTCCTTGGTCTGTTATTGTCAATGGATTGGGGCTATTATTTGGAAAGAAAAATAATGCAGTGGTTTTCTTTCAGTTTGCTCTTGGAATATGTATAATTCTCTTCTTTCTGCATTTATAACAGCCACTTGGTGCCCTTCACTAAAGAACAAGTCTTCTCAAACTGGGCTAGGAGTTTTCACTGCCCACATACACAGCTGTGGTAGCTCACTGAAGAGGCTCTGCCTTAGCTAGCTTGATCAACCAGATCTACCACTGTGGCCAACAGCCTTATCATTCCCACTGCACCTATCTTCCTTAAAAATGTGACAAATGTTTCTAAGCTTATATAGCAGAGTTGTGGTGTCTATATTAACTAACATTTTAAAGTAACACATTGTCCCTTTATTCTGTCCCTTCGTTTCCCTTCAGATTATCAAGGAAATATCAGTAGAGGAAGGGAAACATGCCATGGAAAGTTCTAGAATCTATTTCAATTAATGTAGTCACAATCTCCACTGCCCTTAGAATAGACTCATTATCTCCATGATTCAGAAAACATGCTTCAGAACAAGAGCTTCTGTAAAAGTACCAACGCTTATGAAATATCTACACTCTGCAGTTTACAGTTCAGGGCGTACGGATGCAATTCCATTATCCTTGGGAAGCCACCTTGCAGCCATTGAAGGAGCTCTGGTTTCTGGGTAGGTGGAAAATGAAGGTCCCATCATGGGCCTTGTCTGCCTCAGTCTCTGGCCTCTCAACTTGGTGTTTACCATTTTAAAAAGAGTAGAGACCAGCATTTTCCCTGGTATTATGTGATCATCTGAAATCGTTTAAATACTCAGCTCTATAAATATAAAACTGGGTACTTCTAAAAGAATGAATGGAAGCAGGTAAAGAGAATCTTCATAGAAAATTCTTGCTTAGGGTAAAAATGTCAGTTAGACACATGTTGGACTTTCTAATTCATCTATGTCTCTCACACAGTCATTTGCTTTGTCTCCCTGCCTAAACTCCCAGGTACTAATTCTGTCTTCAGCTATGTCTAATATGTGGTTAAACCCATCAATCAAACTTTTATTATTTTTTGAATTTCTAGAAATTCTATTTGGTTCTTGAAATTTGCCTGTTCAATTTTGATATTCTATCGTTCCTTTGTCACATTTTCTAGTCTATTTTAAATATTTTTAAGCATATGTAATTATGGTGCCGTTGTCATTAGGGGTCATCGAGTTGATTGTGACTCATAGAGACCGCATGTGACAGAGTAGAACTGCCCCATAGGGTCTTCTAGACTGTAATCTTTATGGGATCAGATCACCAGGTCTTTCTCCTGCGGAGCCACTGGGTGAGTTTGAACCACCAACCTTTCGGTTAGTAGCCAAGCACTTCACCCTTGTGCCACCAGGGCTCATTATAATAATTAGTTATCTATTTCTTTATTTGATAATTCCAATATATACATCCTCTGAGATGCTGATCATAAAATGGTTGTTTCTGTTAACTCACTCATGGTGGCTCATTTTCTGGTGTGTTTGTTAATTTTAATTGTTAGCTTATGTTTTTTGAAAGTTCATTTGTGGGACATTTTTGAGATTTGGGTTTAAATTCTGTTCCTCCAGAGAAGGTCTGCATTGCTTCTGCCTGGTGATTTTATCACCTCTGGTTCATTTTAAACTAAATTTTCAGATCGTTTTACTTTGTTCGTACAAGTAGTATGAATTCAAGCCCTAAACCCAAGTAGTAAGATTCTCCTTCCTTCCTTCTTTTCTTCTTTCCTTCCTTCGGTTTCCCCTTGTCTCTCTCTCTCTCTCTTTCCCCTCCCTCCCCTCCTCTCTTCTCCCTCCCAGCTCTTTTTTCTTCTCCACCTGAGTCAAGGCCAATACAGGCATTTTACTTCATCGAATTCCTCTGTAGGGCATTTCTCATCTGCTTCCCACTGAGGATGCTTCTTGGGATATCCTCAGTTTTCCAAAGGGCCTCTCATCTAACCTACTACCCTGCTTACACCTCAGGATTTGTTCTCTGTTGTCCACGCATGGGGTCTATGATCACCTGAGTTGAGCCCCCAGGGATGTAGCCCTCACCTGTTTGGGTCTCTGGATTCACACTTTATTGTCATTTCTAACTTCTGAGCAATTGTGTTCCTTTGCTGCCAGTTCATGATTTAATTCTTTTTTCCTAGCAGTGTTAGGAGTGCTAAACTGGGGAAAAATTTCTCTGACTATCCAGCCCTTCACAGTGCTGCAAAGGGAACCTTCTGTGCTTTTACAAGACCTTTGTGTGACATGGATACTAAGCGTGTGTTGCAGAAACACACTATACGTATTTGCATCTGTAATTTGGGACTTGTCCACTGGAGGGGGACAAGAACCAGGGGCATCTGCCAACAGCTAATTGTGCCATTAAAATAGCAGCTGATTTTTTTTTTTGGGGTGACAACTTGAAAATCTGGGATACAGAACTTGTGGATGTTAAAGGTGAGGCTAAATTCTCCAAACCTGAGCTTTTCTTTCAGGGCAGAATGACTTCAGTGCAAACTGAGATAATACTGAGTTTTGTAATATCCTCAGGTGGACGGGATAAACCCAGTCCTTTTTTGAAGAATATTTCTAGGAATTTGTATTGCATATGTTCTGTGCCCTTTGCTTCTCTTCCAAGAAGATGATGGTCACATAGAGGTATACCGAGATGCAATTATTGAAGGCAGCCATAACATCGGCATTTGGCGTTTCGAGCTGAAATAAGCAGCCCTCAGATGTTATTGCTCCCTTTGCTTGTCACTTCGCTATGAGAGAAGTTCCTAGCAGTTGAGCCAAAGGTGAAGACAACAACTTTCCCACGTTTATTTACAGTGCATCCCCCAATAGTGCTGCGAACAGCAACCAGAAACAGACCTCCCCAAGGGGGCTCGTCAGCAGACACTGCACTCTTGACAGTGACGGACTTAGTAAGAACTTTACCCTCTTCTGAGATGGCCTTCCACCACCCGTCTGTCAGTCTGTCATACTGAGGTGGCTTGCATGTTGCTGTGATGCTGGAAGCTATGCCACCAGTACTTCAAATACCAGCAGAGTCACCCATGGTGGGGACAGCTCAGCAGAGTTTCCAGACTAAGACTAGGAAGAAAGGCCTGGCCATCTGCTTCTGATAATTAGCCAATGAAAACCCTACAGATCACAACAGAATATTGTCCAACATAGTGCTGGAAGATGAGCCCAAACATACCGATGATGGCAAAGAAGGCAGAGGATCGGGCAACGTTTTGTTCCGTTATACATAAGGTCGCCCTGCATTGGAGCAGCAACAACAAGAAGATGGCTTTGGAAATGTTCTTCAAGGACTTTGAAAGACTCTGCCTGGCTGGCAGAAATATACCTGTAAGCACTGCATATTGTTTTAGGACACAAACATGTAAAGCTGAACCAGTTGTGGCTGGAATCCAGAGCACGGCTTCCGAGCAGGCAGCACCTTCCTCCACGGCTGGGAGACGAGCAGGGCAACTCGGACCACAGGAGCAGGGCATTTTCTTTAGGTTGTTTCTCAAACCGCATGGACCGGGGCTTGAAACCAATCAAAGGAAAACGTTTGGAAGCAAACTGCTGCATAATTAATCCCCTTAGCTTCTAAGGGGGCATCATCAGAAAGCTATTGCCGATCAAAGGAATTGTGAATAGATCTCCAAAGCTTTTTAGAGGCTTATTGCTTGCTAAGTCCGTTCAACAGATCCCACTGAATGAGGCTGCGAAGAGGCTTCTACACTTCTTGCAGTTTACCGTAAAAGAGACAGCGAATAATCCACTTTGCATCTTGGAGTATATTACCCTGTGCCTCAGTTTCCGTATCTGTACGGTATGTAGTGTGTGCACGTGGGTGTGCATGTATGTGTGTGAGAGGGAAGCGTGTTGGACTACGAGGTCTCTAATCCTACTTTTCAAACTTCAGTCAACATATGCATTACAGGATTATGTGTATTATGCAGATTCTGATTCTGCAGGTTGGGAGCATGCTGGGATTCTGCATTGTTAGGAGGCTCCCAGGTGACGCCTAGGCTGCTGGTCCATGGGCCACGCTTGGAGCGGTGAGGCTGTAGGCTGAATCTCTGACTCTTGATGACCTTATGATGACTTTTACTAATACATCCATGTTCCATGTTGAGGTTCCTGAATATGGCTCTTAGAAATGTAAAATCCTATTAGGACAGCCTTTTAGAGAGACGAAATTCCCAGGTCAAATAGAGGCCATCACTGCTGAGGGAACGGGTGCCCCACAGCATTAAGCGAGAGCCGGAATCAGCGCGCAGTGAGGACAATGTTGCTCTAACATGGATGTCTTTCCAGCAGCACAAACTGCTACCAGAATCTGAGATCAGCCTCTCTGTTCTCATCCTTTTCCTCACAGAACGCAAGCTCCAGGCCCATCACACCATTTGCCCTTCTTCTTTACAAATGCCTTACATGTTTCTGAGTCCACTGCCTTCTCCCCTTTCTGACGCTGGAATGTTCAGCTCCTCCCCGCCCCCGTCCATATCTGCCTGCATAAACTCACTCGTGTGTTAAGGCCAAGTTCAGATAGCATCTCCCTCAAGAAACCAGGGTAATCCCCATGGCAAGATGTAAGCCTTCCGTTCTGTGGTTAAACAGCACCACAGACTTTGGCCTTGAGTTGAAACTATCTTCAAACATCTCCTCCCCTTTCTGTGCAATCCCTTTCCTCTGCTGGAGATGAAGCCGGAAATCACCAATGGATGGATGAGCTTTACATCTATTATTTAAAGATCACAAGGAGCCTATGGACTCGGTGTTATTCTTATCTTCACCCTGGAGATGAGGCGTCTGAGGCAGAGAGAGACTAGGTCACTGTTCAAGGGCACAGGATCTGGCAGTCAGCCTCCAGAGCAAGGATGCACCAAAGACCTCATGGGTTCCAGTGGGGTTAGCGAGGTGGAGGCCATCAGTGATGTTGGTGAGAAGGGCATCAGGCGAGGCATGAAGGCAGAAGCCAGACTCGGGGGCCAGAAACTGACCAGCGTTGAAGAATTAAAACAGTGAGTCTGTCTTCCATACCATTCTCTGGTGTGTTAGGTCCTCAGACACTGAAGAACTCTGGGGTTGCTTACCAATTCATTCAGTTGCTGGCTCTGCAAAGCTGGGCCGACTTGGGCTGGGACGGCCCTGCTATGTGACTGTCTGGCCGTGAGGCTCTGCCTGACAGCCGACACTCTCTCACTTGTCTCCCTAATGGCACTGCTTGCTAAGTGCTCAGTGAATGTTTGCATTGATCCAAAAGCACAGTGGTCCCCACACGGTGCCGAAGAATCCTTACCCTAGCAGTGAGCTTTAACTGATGGGTGCGGGCTTGGCAAGGGGGTCCGCGGTGAACATGGACATTTATTTAGGATGCAGAGTCATAGGGGGAGGCTAAGAACATGCTGCCTTGTGCTGCCTTGTGGGAATCACACGGCCACAGTCCTCACTAGAGAAGAGGCAAAAATGAATTCCTGGAGCGAAGGAAGCGGAAGTGATACTTTGTAAGACAGCCTGACCAAAAAAAAAAACAAACAAACAAACAAAAAAAACCACCAAACCCCTACAAAAACCAAACCAGTTGCTGTCAAGCCAATTCTGACTCATGTGACCCCATGCGTGTCAGAGTAGAACTGCACTCCATAGGGTTTTCATGGCTGTGACCTTTTGGAAGCAGATCACCAGGCCTTTCTTCTGAGGTACCTCTGGGTAGGTTGGAACTGCCAATCTTCTGGTAAGCCCCCAAGTGCTTAGCCATTTAGGCCACCAAAACCCTTGCTGTCGAGGCGATTCCGACTCATATCGACCCTATAGGACAGAGTAGAACTGCCCCATGGAGTTTCGAAGGAGCACCTGGTGGATTCGAACTACCGACCTTTTGGTTAGCAGCCATAGCACTTAACCACTACGCCACCAGGGTACCCAGGAACTCCATAATAAAGCAGCTACAGGGTATTTAGTGTAGAACTTCTGCTTCCTTCCAATCTGGAAGAGGCAAGGGCAGCTAGTCAAGTGGAAGATCTCTCCACGGCAGCACTTCTCTGTGCTTTGGCTCGCAGGGATCAAAGCTGGGAGGGATGTCTTCTGCCAAGAGAACACATTCAGCCCGCACAAACAGCCCAAGTCAGGTCCTGCAGCCTTACCAGATTATGAGTGACCTGAAGACAGCTTTTGTGACCTACTTATTTTGGCTGGGGATACCAAAATCCCAACCAAACCTGTGGCCGCTGAGTCGATTCCAACTCACAGCGACCCTATAGGACAGAGTAGAACCGCCCGTAGGGTTAGTGCATGTTTAATAAATATTCTTTGGATACATGAGTGAAGATGAAGTAGTTGTTGATGTCAAAAGGCTCTGCAAGAATGCAGTCCTTCAGGGCTTGGTTATAATGTTTCTTTCGGCCCTGGTTAAAGAGGTGGTTCTTTCTAAATGTTAGCAAGCAAAATTATGTAGTTGGTGTTTAATAAATATTTGATAAGTTATATTAACAAGGGCTTCAAATTATTGTGAGGTTGTCCTTGTTGCTTGCCACCAGGTTGGCTCTGACTCATGGCGACCTCATGTATAACAGAACGAAACATTGCCCGGTCCTGTTGTAAGGTTACATAATAATAATCAAGAATGTTTGGCTGGATTGTGCATGTCAGCTTTTGAGTCTTAGTGATCTCCGCAGGGGAAGGAGCCTGGTGTGAGGGCCACACTCCCCTAATTGGCATCACGCCTGCCTGTTTGCACTTCA